GAGGGGGGGCGTAGGTCAGTTCCATGGCAGGGGGGTAGCATGGCCTGGCTGCAACCTGGATGTGTAGAGAAAAGGGGGCATGGCCTGGCTCCAACCTACCAAGCAGGGCATGGGATTTTGGCAGCAGGGAGCGGTAGCAATATTAACTGTCACTGCTGCCCTGCTGCCAAATTTCCCAACACTTTGGGAGCCCACGGGCCAGATTCCAAGGCTCCATGGGCTGCATTTGGCCTATGGGCTGGAGGTTGAGCACCCCTGCTGTAATGCTTAGGTATCTCCCTCCCTCTGATTAAACAGTTGTAGTGTATCATCACAGGAAGTGTAATATCCAGGGAGGACAGCCAGAGGGGAATGACATAACTGAACTACAACTTTCCATGAGGCACAGCAGCAGCTGACAATGCATGAAGATCAGTGTCAAGCAAGCAAAGGAGACATTTAGGGTCAGAAATGTTAGTGTCAAAACTAAATGTTTTATGTTTCAGAACTCTTTGTTTTGGCTCTGGTATTTTGCCACTTGTGTTCCCCCTGAGTTCTTTGGGGCAAAGGCGGATGGTAACAATTTGCAATCAGCTCTGTTGTGGCTGTTACCATCAAGAGAAGATGACATCTGCAAAGCTCAACACAATCACATGCTGCAGATTTTTTTGTAAACCTAAAAAAATTTCCACACACAAAATCAACCTTGATTGTATCACCTGGACCAATATTTGTAGTGAATACAAAAGAAAGTTGTTTCAATTTTTCATCATTATGATGCAGGAAGAATATACTGCTGGTTTTTAAAGCACATCTTTGTGCAAATTCATTTAATAGTTTTTAGGGGCTGGAAGGGACCTTACAGATCATCAGGTCCAGCCCCCCTGCACTTGGGCAGGAAAGACTGCTGGGATCAGATGACCCCAAGCAAGATGGGTATCAATTTACTGACGTTGTATCAAAGCACAACACTTCCTTTGTGTTGGAGCACAAAAATTAGTTTTAACATTTGTACTATTTCAGTGTGCAGAAGATACTTTGATCATGACCTCACCCATGAAGAATCAATTAATATAAATTGTTACTTGTGCTTTAATTTTCTGAATATTATGAACCCTTAATAATTAAGTTTAAGAAAGAGAAAACTGCTGGAAAAAGTCTTTAAAAATAAAGCAAATGCAGTAAAAGCTGAGAATCAGAATGTCTAGAGCTAGCTCATCTTTAAAAAATGTTGTAATAAAGAAAATTTTAAGTTTGGAATTAACTAATGAGTTTGAAAATAGATTTCTAATTGGAACAGATGTGTGACATGGCTATTAATAGGATGACAGGATTATAATTTTATTGGCATTGATCTGGGACACTAATTCTATTTGTTGTGTTCCACCTCCCCCACCCCAACATGAAAAATTGTTGTTGACAGAACTGATAATATTTCAAGATGGGCTAATTTGAAATTGTCCTTAAGATTAATATAATGGGAGAGAACTGTGATTGGATATATAGCACATTTTGAATAGAACACAACTGGTGGTAGAGGTCCTTTAATTCATTACCTATAGGTAAAGGCTCCCAATGCTGCTTTAATAAATGGTAAAACAACCATGAATTTATAATAACGGATTCATAGGGGCATTGGAGATGAAGAAAATACCAAGAAAATACTTATTTATTGCAGTGACAACAGCAAGTGTTACATCTGCCTGCTGTGATTCTGTTTATAATCATTCACTCAATGAAGCTTTTAAGTCTGAAAGCTGAGGAGCATCAAGGTATAGCTCTTAAAGGTGACCTGAAAAGAGAAAACAATTGACTAATTGCCTTTTTGTGATAAAGAGACCTATTGTGTGCATCCCCAGGTGTTTTATTTTCTCCCCATTATTTTAATATAGAGCTGTCCACTGTAACTTTTCGATCTAGTTATACCATTTCCTTTTTATTGCCACCCATTAACTTCAGTAAGTAACATTTTGGAATGTGAACATGTTTGTTAAATACTCATCTACCCCCACGGGTAAGGTGAGTGTTCACAAAAACATACTGCCTTTATACACATGACAAAGGAGGAATGGACAAAAATCTGATGTATTCTTTTAAATGCTTTGCAGTATTTTGCAGAAAATTGTAAGTTATTCCTAAATAAAACTGTGTCCCAGAAAAATGTTAAACCAACAAGGAGACAGGTGATCTTGTGGTGCAAACAGTAGGCAAAGAGTCTGGAAATCTTGGTTCTTTTGGCTCTACTGTAGGTTTCCTATACAACCTTGGCCCTGGTACACATTCATTTAAAGGCACCATGGGTTGTGAGCCCCAATCCCAACACCACCACCTCCTGCTGTGCCACACATGCATGGCACAAGGCACAATTTTGTGATTAGATCCTTAGCTCTTTCTGCTTGCTAGTGCAGGGGGAGCCCAGTATCATGATCCCAGGTTCCCCCTGTATCAGCAAGTTGAAAGCAGCGATTATAGTTATCATCCTAAATTAGTAATTATTATAATTACTTATATATTTGCATTTGTTCAACATTTTATCTGACTTCCAAATTCTAGGGAGGAAAAAGCCATTACCTGAAAAAAGAACAATGAGCTACATGTACCAGTTATGTAAATCCCTTGATCACATGCACAGGTAAGATACTAAAATCAGTAGTTTTGCTATAAATTTGCCATTTACTTTTATTTAAATATTTTCTCTGTACACTTAGAAGCCTTAAGAACATGCTGATCCTCAAAGTAAATCATTCTCTTTTTATCTGTTTATATTGGTTCAGAAATGGAATATTTCACAGAGATGTGAAACCAGAAAACATATTAATAAAGGTAAGCAGTCTTATATGAAAGGTTAATCTAATTAAAGGTCCACATACATTTCTCTTTATTCTGAGAAATGCTTCTTAATGTTTTCTCATTTTTCAGAATACATAAGTTGTTTTGTTTGTTTGTTGCAGCAGGATACCCTGAAGTTAGGAGATTTTGGATCTTGTAGGAGTGTTTATTCCAAACAGCCATATACAGAATACATCTCAACACGCTGGTACCGAGCACCAGAGTGCCTGCTCACAGATGGCTACTATAGCTACAAAATGGACATGTGGAGTGCTGGCTGTGTTTTCTATGAAATTACAAGGTAAGCAAGCAGAAAGAGTATAAGGGTCTGGTTTATTCAAATGTCAAATAAACTGCGAGATAAAGACCAACCTATCAGACGATCAGCACAGTGGTTCTCAAACTTTTTTTTTTTGTGGACCACTTGAAAAATTGCTGAGGGTCTCGGTGGACCACTTAATTTTTTTTGTTCTACAAATCAAAGCACACAACTCATATTTTAATATTAGTAATCTTACAAGTACAGATATTCTCAATTGTTCTGCAATCTTTCTGCCTACCACTTGAATGGAGCTTGCGGATGAGTGGTGGTCTGTGGACTGCAGTTTGAACACCTCTGATACAGACGATACAACATTTGGGTTTTTGTGAAAAATTCCCATGCTGCTGAAATCCTGTTTGGCCTGGCATCAGCTATGCTTAACAGCTGATTAGTAACAAACCAGCTAAATGCTGAGAAAAGTAACCCTCAAGCACCTTTGTGTAGTTAATCCCTCCAAGTATGCTCTTTATTTGTAACATCTTCACAACTTTTCACTGTTTTTCTCATTTTGGCCAAGTGTCTCCCCCTTACTCCCTCATTGAGTTTGATGTGTATGGTCCTTTCCTTTTCCTGTAACAAACACAAATGATTGTCCTTGGCCTTAATTCCCTCAGTGTTATATTTTTACCTCCCTCTGTTGATTTATACTTCTGCAACAGCAAAGGTAATTAGTGAGTTACAAGCAACTGACCTGTATAATTTAGTTTGAAAAATCTTTTGGTTATAATTTATTTCTACAGGCTCAACTTTTTTGGGGGGAAACAAAACAAAACAAACCTGATAGACCCCAACTGTGGGAGGTATCCAAAAATGCATTTTGGTAAAGCTGGTATAAAACCCCTTCAGTGATTTGAGGTTTGTAATGGTATAAAACTGTAGAACTGGAAAGAATCACCATTTTTGTGAATCACAATATGAAAAAAAGAAGTATTTCTTGAACATCCTTGTGGCCTAGCAACAGCAGTAATTCTGCTCTGTCCTCCTACACTGCCTCCTCCTCATTTCATATACAACCAGAAGTGGCAACATTTTCATTTCAGTCTTCTAAGTGCAACTGCTGCTGTCATCATTACTCCTATAAACTGACAACATTTATGTTTTGGCTGCTTATTAACCATTAAAAACAACCAATTTTATGTTGGGTAGATGCCAGTTAACATAAATAGTCTATCTGTCTCACAGGCACGCATATCTGCAAATTATTGATAATCCTGATCTCTGAAAAATTAGTTCTATAATACTGCTTTACAAAACATCACCTTTTTCATTTCCATCAGAATTTTTTTTAAGTTTGGAAGTTATATTCTAGGTGAATACCAGAAAGTTCAGACTTTTTTGGCAAGTAAATAAAAAGAACAGAACAAAAATATAACTTGCTAAGAAGGAAGTTGTGAGCAGATTTATTTAAATTTTTTTGTTTATTTCCCCAGTTTCTGCTGCCAAACACATTTGAAAGTCATAAGTAAGGATTCTTACAGCCCATCTTGTAAATGCTTTTTGTCTTCTTTTGCTTCAGTCCTTAAAGTGGTCTTGTTTTCTTTGTATCTCAAATCTGGCTGTTCACAATCCCCTGTTTAGGAACTCTCATGTATCATTGTACTTCCTCTTACTGCAGCTCTTCACTTTCTGAGCTAACAAAAATGTAGCAGAAGCTACATCTCACTGCTTTGTTCTTACCTAGCTGTACAAAATGAACTCTTTGCTTTGATTACAGGGATACTATGTTGAATAGTGCTTGCAGCTGGGGTCCTAGATGTGGTTTGGCAAACAAATGTTGGAAAATTAGTCTTTGTCCTTCCCTAACACAAGCAATGCATTGATTTTAAGTACCTTTGTGTTGTGCTCTTAAATAGTAGGTCTTATTATGTACTCTGGGAAACTTATTAATAGATTTATAAGAAGTTTGATATCTGTAGAGTCTGCTAATAGAGAAAGAAGGTATAAAAATGGAAAGAAAATAACAGTAGGCCACATGCTTAGCTGGTGCAATGGTTTCAGAGGAGTTATGCCTATTTACACTAGTTTATCTGCCCCAGCAAGTGGAGAGCAGAAGCAAAATACAGTGTTGTTGCAAAGAGCCTGGACTTTTATTTAAAAGATGCACACAGCAGCAAGCAGGCTGTTTAGTTCCATCATGCAGGTCACACTCCCTTAGCATGCGGGAAGTGCACCATATTCCAGGACCTACTACTAGAGTCAGAGAAAATGGATGACTATGGAACAAGGCACGGTACAGGACAGTGGACAACTTCTTCACATCAAAGTTAGAGATGTGGGAAGGGGGGAAGTTGGTCTGTGGTTAAAAATAGCTTGCAAGAGCCAATTTAACCCATTTTACCAGAAACCTGGGCTGTCAACCAACACAAGTACACACTGCTCTACCATTGTTCATTGGTATGAAATGGTAATTAAAGATCCACACTTATGATCCAGAATTCTTGCCTTCCTCTGATGTGTTCATTTTCAGAGCATCACAAAGTAGCAGCAGTTTCACCAGAACTAGTATTGTTAATATTGTTATGTTCTTGTCTCTTTCAGTTTACACCCTCTTTTTCCTGGATCCAATGAACTGGACCAAATATCAAAAATCCATGATATTATAGGCACCCCTGCTAAGAAAATTCTTAATAAGTTCAAACAGTAAGTGTAGTTATTGGCACATTTATTCATATCTAAGTAAATGAAACATGCGGTGCCATTCATCCAGCAACATTCAGCCAGTCCTTTACTATGAGCACTTGACTCTAAATGGAGGCATCATTATGTTTATTAATATTCATTTATACCTAAAGTTCAACAAACAACTATGATTAGATTAAATACATTACATTTATTTTCATGGAAGATTCCCAGTTAAGGGAAGAGAAAAATTGAGCTGGGTTTTGAGTGTTTTTTCCCCTCTTCTCTTACCCATCAGGAACTTATGCACCTGGGCCTTTTGCCTTCTGGCATCAAGTGAATTATCCACATAGGTTTTGGGGGGAGCATTTGTAGATCATCCTCCTCCTGTCCTCAGCATAGCAGCTGCAACACTGCTGCATAGAGTTTACAATCAGGGGGACGTGTCTTTGACATCATGAGGTCTCTTCTAGCCCTGCTGTTCTGTGATCTTTTCCACCAAGTGTAACACTGCTGTTTCTGCACTGCTAACAGGGTGTTCTCTCCCCCACTATCTCTGTGATATTCCCAGGCAGCTGAGAGAATTGAGGTTAAGTTTCGTTTTCAGTCTCATCTGGTAGCTTACCTCTATAAAGTGTGGAACTCATTGCCAACAGATGTTGTGGAAGATGACAGTTTAGCCAAATTCAAAAAGGGATTGGACAAATTATTGGAGAAAGAGGGCATCAGTAGCTATTGAGCCTGGGAGTTAGGAATACAGCCTCTGAATTAGAGCTTCCTAAACCTTGAATGCTGGAGGCTGCAAGTGCAAGAGAAACAGTGGGAAAAAACCCTGATCATCCCCAGTTCACTCTCCCTTTCAACATCCATATTCTGGCCACTGGGCAAGATGGACTTACAGTCTGACCTAGTAAATGGCAGTTCTTATATTTATCCACTATGCCAGTTATAATTTGAAAGGGAACAAAGTTGTCATCCAAATGTTCCCCAAATATTTTCCCTTTTCATGTGACTTTCTAGCAGATAAGAATAACCTTTTAAGGTGTTTTCAGTAGGCTGACTATTCAGAGGCAGTTTACATGAATAATAAGTATTTGCTCTGTCACTGGGTTTACACAGGTCAAGAGCCATGAGTTTTCACTTCCCCTTTAAGAAAGGGACAGGAATACCTTCTCTTGTGCCTAATTTGTCTCCCAAAGGCCTCACTCTCATGTACGCAATGATAGAATATGATCCTGATGAGAGAATTGCTGCCCGCCAGGCTTTACATCATCCTTATTTCCGAGAGCTGAGGTAAGTTTGTACTTTCAATAAAAGATTTTAAAGTGAAATCCTTAACCATCCAATGATCTTGTGGGGGAGGAACATGATGTAAAAAGCCCCTGTATTAGGCTGCAGCACCTTGGAGGGAAGCAAACCTGCTCTTTAATACAGTTAAAGGTCATGTGGCAGTTGGGTTCATATGAAGTGGATTTGTTTAATTTTTCTGCTCCTTCCAGGACAGCAGATAAGAAAGCTTTGACCATACAGAGAAAAGTAAGATTAATAGAAAATACAGAGGGACAGGAGCCTATCCACCTGTGGCCTATTTCAAAGGAAAGCAAAGGACAGGTAATGTTTACAACAGGAGAACATAAAGGGTATTTAGAGAAAATAATCTGCAATGTTTGGCTTGTTCGTTATATAAACAAACATCATCTCAAGGCAACTGCAAGGTTTTCTTCCTAATCTGATCAGACTCCTATGTTAAAGAGTGAGAACCTGACACCCATGCAAAGTCTCACGCAAACAGTGTCAAGACCAAAGTGACAGTTCGGCACAATCTGTTAGATGCCTCGTCACCTAATAGTCACAATTTCACAATTAATGGTAATTATTCTTCCCTGTTTCTCTTGTATTCTGTGGCCTAAAGAAGTGGCAAGATAGCTTTTTATAACCATCCCAGCTGCCCTGATAAAATATAATCCAGATGTTTTAAATCAGGTTCTATTAAGTAAAATGTAGAGGGTCAAAATAGCTTTTTGCCCTTCCTTTCTACCTTTTAAAAAGGCCAAGATTATTATTTTTTTCTGTGTATTTATATTAGAATTTCTAGATTTGTTTACCATGTTTTTCTTGGAAGTATATGAATAAACTGAGAACTAACATTTTATATTAGATAAAGGCAATGACATCTGATTGAGAAGAGTTTTCCATAGACTTCAAAACTCAATTGATACATATTTAAATTAACTCAAAATATTCAAGATCTTCACTGCATCATTAGGGTAAGTTGCCAGTCTGTATCTGTTGGATCTCCAGACAAGATCTCCAGCAAAACAGGACTTAATATTTTTAATATTAAGGTAAACATTTAGAAAGACTCTGCTTTTTTTAAAATGCGCATAAAGCAGTGAAAAGGGACACACAAGCCTATTTTTTTTCCTCTACTAGAAACCTTTAAAACACAAGATTGGGTGATATGGGATTTGCAGAAGATATTCAGGGAAGAATTGCAAAATAAAAATGCTGGGATGCATTGTAGGTTATTTCATGCTTTTTATTGTGTAATTAGGACTTCATTGAGTTGGTTGTAGCTTAAAAAAAAAACAAAAAACCATTTAATCCTCGTAAGAAGTGACTGCAAAGAGATTAAAATTTATTTCTTCATTTTAAAAGCACTTTCTTAGGCAAGTCCAGGAAAATCCAAAACGACATCACGGACCTTCCTGTGTAATAGAATTACCAAAACTGAATGTTTGTGGAGTAACGAAGTTGACTTCTTATCCTAATCCTACATTTGGTTCAGTTTTTACCACACCTGTAACACACTGTGACGTACCCGTGTTGCAGCCTATTAAATATATCAGGACAAATTGCAAGGTACTAACTTTAACTTCAGTTCAATTATACACAACAGAGGAATGACCAGATTTCAAACTTCTGTCATTTCTTTAACAGTCTGAAAAACAGAAAGAACTTAAGACTTCTTTGAAACAATACCACTTACCTACTATAGAACGAAGGGATGGAAGATATTGACCATCTTGTCAAAGATTTGGAGTGTAAGGAAGAGCATAATATGCAGGGACTCAGATTCAACCGTGCTTTCAGTGTTACCAGAGGTACATCAAGAAAAATATTGCCTTAGCTTGTGTTTCTTAAAAATGCCACAAGAAAACGCTACAGGACTGTCTCTGAAGGGCTACTGAAATAGCACTTTGGTACTTTGTTCCTGAAAGATATCAATATTTATGCAAGCAACATTTGGGCAGCTCAGATGCACTTTATACTTGAACTCAAACAAGTTTGGGTTTTTTAAGACCTGAAAGCTTGAAAGTTTTGTTGTATTTTTAAACACACAAAAACAAAACAAAAGATTAAAAATAAGTGTTTTTTGTTGGAGCTTAAGTACTAAGAATGTATTTTTGTATTTTTATACTATAAACAGAAATAGAAAGTTGCGTATTGTGTTATTTAAGAATGAAGCTTGGTCTGTCATTTTTTACATTTAAACAGAAAAACTAACTTCAAAGTCAATGTTGGGAAATAATATTCTTCTGTATTTGATAGTTGCAAAGGCAAAAGTCCTGTTAACATCTTGAGGATTATGCCATCAGTTGGGATGCCCTTGATTTTAGCAAAATTAAATACAGTCATTTTAATTTCTTTAAAAATGTTATATGCAAACAATACAAATACTGCTGCGCACTTATTTGATTCAAAAGCAAAGTCTTGATCTTGGTTTCCCTTCTCTTTCTTAAACTTTGCTTTGGTATTAGTAGAAAGTAGTCCATTGTTTTGCAACAAGTTGATAGGAAAAACTGTAAAACAGTAATGCATTTCTGCCATTTTAACATTTCAGAATGAATGAGACATTTTAGCAGATAGTCATTGCATAAGGTATTAGCTTATTTGTGGTCTAAGATGCAAAAATTAAAAATGGTACTTTGGCTTTATTAAGAGAAGCTGTTTAAACTAACAATGAAGTTCAGTGCATTTGATTTTAAAACTTTTTAATAGTTTTCTAGTAAAATAGAAAAGCTGTTTATTGAGAGCTCTGTTACAAATTGCATTTATAATTTCAGAACCAAGTAAAGCTTAACTTTATGAAGTGTATTTATATTAAGGGGTTGCAAAATTCACTCAAATTGAGAATGGTATCTGATGAACCTGGATACATTTCTACTGAATAAGTTTTCAATTAAAAGAGATTCTAGTCTTACTAGTTTTTAAAATACTCTGTTCATTTTTGGAAAAGTTATTGAACGAACAGGCTTCCCAAGCCTGCAGAGAGCAGCCCCAGTTCTTCTGCTATCAGAACTCTCCCAAACTACAGCAGAATGAAATCAAACAAGATCCTAGTCAGTTTCCAGCTGCTGCTCCCAACTTTGTGGACAGCAGCAAAACTTGAATCACTTTACAACACTCATTGGGGTTAACAAGGGACTGCACTCACAGACAGCTTGGGGGCGGGGCATGTAGAGAAGTGACAGCTCTGCTTATTCAACATGCCCAAGTCAGATACAAATGGTGGAAACCTTGGATAAGATCATGGAACAACAGATACTTCAGCAGCTTAGGCAGCAGTGGCAATGGCTTCTCTATCAAGAGATCAGCCTTCAGCCTCTTGCAGGGACTCTTTTTGTCCCACTAATGTAGCATTTGTCTCTAGCACTGGCTTGTAGATTTGAGGTTTGAGATTATTAGGCCTTGTAATTTATCCAGTCTGGGAAATGCTATGGGCCTTTTGAACAGCTTTTTAACCTGTGCATTATTTCAGGATGGACCTGACACTATTTGTCAGTGGAGGCTTTTTGCTTTATTCTGATCTTCTATAGCTTGGTAGTTTGGTGGGGATATATTTAAAATAAGCAAGCTTGCTCTTAGCTAGTAGGATTCCACGTTTGCTCGTGGAGAGAGCACTGGATGGGATTCAGGATATCTGGGTTGTCTTCTTGTTGCCACTGGCCTGCTGGGTAATCTTGAGAATGTCCCTTCAACCATGTCTCGGTATCTCCATCTGTCAGATGGGAGTAGCAATATTTTTGTCTTTTGTAAAATGCTTTAAGATGGACTGGTGAGAAGCACAATGAAAGAGCCTGCTCTTAGTCTGAAAATTTTTTTCAAAAAGATAAAAATCACTATTGAAGGAGCTGTCTGAGTGCCTATAGGCAAGTTCTCTCAACACATTCAAGTAGCTAATGCAAATGAGGAATGTCATTATTTGGCTCCCATTCTAATTAGCTAAGCCACTATATCATGGATAGTGGCCTGTAAAATGTTTGTTCATCTCATTCTAATGTTTACATGAGTGCCCCTGTTTTAAAGGTTAAAAACATAGAAATAAATACTTTCTAACCCTTTGAAGTGGTTCCTACAAACTGAGGTCTCCAACATACTGGGGACTCTGTGAGGAAGCTTGCCTTCAGTTACCAAAGACCTGCTGCATTAATAGTGAGCATCTGTCTTTAGGAATAACACCAGTACCTCACACTCAACTACATAAAACTGGAAAATTTAGTAAATAAAGTAACTGAAATAAGTTAGGATGGCAGAAGGACTGTGTGTATAGTGAGCATGAATGATTGACAAGGAGGTGAATTCCACTGAAACAGAAAACAAATAAATCCCTTGATCTTTTTAACAGCCTCCTTCCAAATCTATTCCATCACCATTTTAGTTATTTGACTAAAGCATTACACATCCTAGAAAAATCAGAGCAATTAAAGAGGAAGACCTATTTAAACCATCTGCTCACTTGTTATCCATTTTTTTATAATGTAAAAATACAGCTGAGGTAACTGTAAAGGTTTTGCAATTAAGAGCATAACTGTTCTGTTATAATTAATCTGCTCCCTCCTCCCATATTGCAGTTAACTTAGTGGCTTGTACCGACGTTCAGGAGAGAATGTTTAAAGAGCTTAAATAGCAGTAGGATCAATGCACCAGTTGTCTGAGCACCTACCTTGCCTGAACATATTTAGGGTACAAAATTGGAGTTGAATTTAGGAAATGGAACTAAGGGCTACAGCTCTAGATATGCAACTGTAATGCAACAGTAACCAGCAGTTTCACACCTTCACAACTTTGGGCTAGAAGTTCTATTAGCTCATCCTTTCTTGAACTGGGACTGTGTTGTTTGTTTCTAGAGGATATGAGAAATACAAGGCCTCTAGCAAATAGAGGCGTGCGAAGCTTCGGTCACTAATTCAATTCGGAGAAAATTCAGCCTGATTCAGAGGCCAAATCTCCAAATCGAATCAGGAAAACAAACAAAACCTCCGAATTAATTCAGAAAAGATTCAAAAAAAGATTTAGAAAGCAGTCTTTCAGGGCAACAGAAACTGAGAAGAGGGGGGCAAGCAGGGGTGGAAAAAGACTGACATCTGTAGGTTGCCAGTGACTATGATCTTTCCCTGAGTCCCCTTCCAGTCTCAGTGCTCTGGGGAAGGGACATAGAAACAGCACATAAGCCTCTGTCCGCAGCCTTTCTGTCCCTTTTGTGAGCTTTTTCTGCCTCAGCACCAGGAAGGACCCCTGTTACAGGCTACTATCCCTGCTGGTTTCATCTTGCTGTGTCTTAGCGCACACCCCCCCTACACACACGCACACAGAGTCACGTCAGGAATTTTGCTTATCAGCACCTTGAGGTGCAGTTTCCCAGAAACCCCTGCACCTATCTCCTTGAACTGTGGCAGGCTTCATGCCCCTAGAATGGGCTACCATCCCTGGTATTTTCATCCAAATCTGCCAAAAAATTACAAATTTATAGGTCTTTAAGTGATTTCCCATTATAGTCTATGGTCGAATCAGCACCGAATCTTTCAAAGCAGATTTGGCCAAATTGATTTGGGACAGTGATCCGAATCAAATCACTGTCCTCTGAATTACCCAAATCAGAATCTGATTCTTCCCTATTCACACAGGCCTACTAGCAAGTCCTCAAGATTGTACTGCAGTATAGAGTTTTTTTTGAGGGGAGGAGGTTGCAGGGGGGTGGAGGGGGGTTGTTTTTTTAACTGGAAGATATTCCATGTCAGAAACTGAGCCACCTTCCTGCCAAGCATTCAAGCAAGAACAACAGAGGGTATAAGCATTCAAGGGTGAATACACCCGTTCAAATAATCTGGAAGAATTTTCCCAGGTTTGTTTTCCTGGTAGAAAAAAAAAACTTACCTACCTGAAGAGCCCTGAACAGACATCCAAATACTGCAAATCCTCAGTGCTTCAGGGGCTCAGTGTTGATGCTGCACAGCCAGGGGGCCTCTATGCGCACATCTCAACATGCTCTGCAGGTTCTGTGAGCCTGCCTGAAGACAGGTGGCAGCAATGCACATGGCAGCCCTGACTAGCTCACCCATATAGTTCAAGGTCAGCCTGCATCTCCTTGCTGCACAAGGTGGGGATTATGAGTGGATGGGGAGAGGGGGAACAAAGCAATTTTGGATGCTGGAAAACTATGCTGTAGTTTCTCTCATAAGGAAACATGTAGGCAGTTGCTCTTCCAAGACAAACTCTCCTGGGAGCAATTTAACCCTGGTTGTTCGCAGGCTACTTTTCTTCTGGAGTGACCATTTTTGCTCTGTGACAAAAATCCTGAAGAACTGTACATTTGTGGTTTCTACTGTGAGAGAAGCAACTCTCCCAGGAAAAGCTGAAAGTCTGTACATGGCCAGAGTCTTACGCTCTCCATTAAAGCTGCAAGGCTATAGGCATGTTTTGCAGGGGAGCAAGAAAAGGAAGTTTATCTGAACATTTGTATAGTATCAGATCAATGCTGCAGCAGAATAATCAGTTTTTAGGATGCCATTTTGTTTAAGAGTGCTGCTTTCCACAGTAGTGAAAACACATCTCCAGAATATTTAGTTTGGTGCAACATTTTGTTAGTGCTCAGAAGACACCAGATACTAGAAACAAAGCTGACCAGCATTTAACAGTAAAACGAGTCCATGTTCTAAAAATCCTTCTTGCACCTTTCTTGCTTTTCAAGTTCACTTTTTTAGTTGGATCCATACTGTAAGGCAGAGGTCAGAGCAGTCATCTACTTGTCAGATGTCCATTGCATTCACTAGTTTATTTCAAACTTTCCCAAAATAAGTTTTACTTAGTTATTTGATGCTAAAAGAATGCAAGTCAAGTCCTTGTTTCCAGGCAATCCTCCATCTCTAAAAGCAAATGTGAATTTTTACCAAATTTATCTGTATCTGCATAGGTCGTGTTAATATTATTCACATAGAGGTACTATTAGAAACACTAAAATATGCAGAAAACAAAGCTGCTTCGATGGCTAGCACACGTGGTAGGTGAATTCTGACATATGTTTTGAGAGCAGTCTAATTTATTATATCCTTCATATTATTTAAGGAAATGTTATTTGAAAAAGCTGAACAATGACCACTGGAAGATGATTTTTGTAAAAAAATATTGCAAAAAAACTGCAGGAAATTGAAAGTTATATTGTGGAATATTTTGCATATCACTAAAAATTTATAAGCTTATAATTAGATCCTACTTTATCATACACATTCTCTTCAATTTTGGCACTTAAAATGGCGATGGGGGCACTTTGTCAAACAAGCATTAGTTAATCTTTGTTAGTGTAGCCAATTTTTTAAAGTTTTATTTACCATACACTGCCTAATACCCATTTGTCTATCTAGACTTTTGAATTATGATCATAAATTCGCATATGGCATTAATTTGAATTTTTTCACTTTAACATGCAGCATCTACATATAATTCCAACTTTTTTTAGATCCAAAGTTATCCCATGTTCACTGGTTCTTAAGTGTGCGCTGGGGTGGGAATTGCTGGTTTATGCAACTTCAGAGCCATTGGTTATCCTCGCTGAAAACTCATGGAGGTCAGGTAAGGTCCCAGATGACTGGCAAAGGGCAAACATAATGTCCATCTTTAAGATAGGGAAGGAAGAGGATACAAGGGATTATAGACAAGTCAGCCTGACCTCCATACCTGGAAACATCATGGAGCAGGTCCTCGTAGGATTTATTGTGAAGTACCTAGAGGACAACAGGATGATCAGGAATAGCAGACACAGATTTACCAACCTGATTTCCTTCTATAACAAGCCGACAGGCTTTGTGGATGTGGGGAAAGCCTTGACTTTATACCTGCAATATACCTCGACTTTAGCAAGACTTTTGGCACCATCTCCAATGACACTCAGTAACAAATGAGAAATGTAGCTAGGGAAATAGACTAAAGTACTATAACATGGATACATAACTGGTTGGATCATCGTGCTCTATGAGTAGTCAATGGCCCAATGTCTCCCCAAGTTGGGAGGAGGTAACGTGGTCTTCCCCAGGAGTTTGTCCTGGATTCAGCATTGTTCACTTCTAATAGTTTGGACAACATGATTGAGTGCACATTTAAATTTTCATATGACACCAAGTTGGATGGAGTTGCATACACTCTGGAGGGCAGGGCTAGGATAGACTGGAGAAATGATCCGCAATCCAATCAGATGGCATTGAACAAGGACAAATGCAAAGTCCTACACTTGAGATGCAATAACTGCATGCACAAATACAGACTGGAGAACGACTGGTTCAGCTGCAATACAGAAAAGGAGCTGGGGGTTACAATGCACCACAAGGTGAATAAGCCAACAGTGTGTTCTCATTGCAAAAAAGGCAACATACATGGGTCAGCCTTAGAAATCAAGAGATGTGATTCTTCTGCTCTACTCTGCATTGGCGAGACTTCATCTGGAGTACTGTGTCCAGTTTTGGGGCTCACACTTCAAGAAGTATATGGACAGATTTTCCAGGAGTCCAATTTATAAAAAGAGGATGGAGATAATCCTGTCACCATAAGGGACAGGACTAGGAGCAATGACTTCAGGCTTCAGTAGATTAAATTTAAGTTGGAGATTAGGAAGAACTTCCTAGGAGTGTGGTCAGGCTATCTAGGAAGGTTGTCAAATCTCCATCCCTAAAGTTTCCAAGAGCAGGTTAGACTATTGTCAAGGATGATCCTGCCATCGAATAGGTGGCTGAACTTGGCGAGCTCATGAAGTCCTTTCTAGTCCTACTTTCCTATGGATTAGTCAGTTTTCAAATGTACATGCATACTAAAATCAGACTGGAATTTGTTCCTGATAGTTACTTGACTTGATAAGAACACTAACGTAAAGTCTCTCATAGCATTAGTCAAACCGGCTGCTGCTCACACAACAATGGGTATTCAGCTTCTCTCTAAAAAACATATATGATCTACTGCCATTTTGCACAATTATATTCTTGGATTATTATACTCACAACCATGCAATTCTTATATAGCAAGTACTCAATTTTTGTAGTAATTTAAAAAAATTCTGTACAATTATAGTTCATATGAGCCAA